CTTTCATTAACTGCTTAATTTGTTAGCTAATATGTTAGCTTAACTTCTGATATGTAAACACTGAAAGGAATATATGGGGAACATAATTATCCTGAAAAAATAATAAAAATAGCTTACGTATCACTAGATTCAAGGGAATGACAGGGCCTCGATCTCAGATCCTACAAAGATTAAATTAATATTACAACAGAAAATAAACACAGTTATAAGAAAAATGAAAGGAAAATGATTTCAATATAATTTCATAACCATTCATACCACTGAAAAGTTAAAATTCTATGTTGAAATATGGTGAACAAAATATTACCTAATGTATATAAATAAGGTCCTTACTTTGTGACCAGCCAGGCACGGGATCAGAGATGAAGCCCTAAACTTAAAGACCACCAAGGAAGTGAAAAAAATGTGCTGCCTGGTCTTTCCAAAAATATTAGAAAATCATGAACGGTGAACTTCAATGAGCACCGAAGACTTTGCTGCATTACTGCAAAATATATCTGAACACTGGAAGACATCATTAAAACATATTATGATAAGAATAATAATTTTACTGAGAAATATCTGAAACAGGTATCAAAATTCATACCACATATATGGCGGGTTGTGACTAATCTCCCTTCTGAAATACACAAATATATAAAGCATATTATTCTGACATGCCGGTGTGCAAGACAAGTCTTCTATCAGCATAAAACGGTGAAAACAACTTAACTAACAGGAAAAATAATAGCCATTCCTACTTTTTCATCACTGATCCTCTTTCCGAAACAACCAATTCAATTCATTCGTACACCTGAAATGTGCTACTCATAGAAACATTAAACTGCAAAGAATATAGCCTGAAATTTTAGTTTGTATGTATTCCTCCATGGTTTCCCTCTCTCCAGTAGAAAAGTAAGAACTTAAAATTGTTATTTTGGATAGTGCAGACCACACAATATAATGCAATGATGGTTAAGGGTCGATGGCAAAAAAAGCATAGCAGCACTACCTGACAACACATTTCCAGCAAATTATGTGGGCATGTTAGTTCAACATACTTGAACTTTTATTTTATCCTTGCACCTTTCTTAAAGTTACATCAGCAGAAACAGCAAAACTAACCATGTCAATCTCTTCAGCCATGGCCGCAAAGCACTTGTCATCTGCTCCTTGGATCCAGACACAATAATCTTCTATGTATAATCTGTTCAACAGAAATCTTGGACTGCTCTGACTGAACAACCGGTGGATATCAAGCAGGCACTTCAACAGCTGTCTTTTACCTGAAAACAGTTTTTAATGCATCTTCATACTTCTCTTGCATGTAACAGGCTTATCTTTTGCCCAGTCAAAACAAATCCTACACCTACCATAACTTCAACTGGTCACCATCTCTCACATGAATATTTGAATACATAAGCTTACAATCAGAACAACAATCTTGTGTATTCAAATTCATACATGTGTAATATAATTTGAGAGCGTGAGATGTGGAAAGTTACTTGTGTTTAATTTTTAAGCCTGTTCTTCTTTTCCTTTTCAATATATCATAAATTCTATTTTTTAAGTGTGAAAGTGATTCCTTGACTTTGTGCGATGGCACACCCTCTGGTTGTGGATGGAGGAGACACCTTCCAGACATGGAGGCAGATGTTAATACACTGAATAAGCAGTTACACATAGTCAAAAAGAGGTTGTCCTCAAACCATGAGAAATAACAATGTTATAAAAAAGAATTACAGGGGACTTGAGGTAAATGGTGGCTCAGAATCATGTCCTATGGCAGGCTTTGGAATTTGAAGCATTGAACTTTAGTGAATCACTAATATAGTTATACCATTAGTTGTCCAGAGTTCAATATGCTGAATACCATTTTACTATACACTAGAAAGAACTTAACTCTAAGGATAAACTGAAAGGTATAAGATCTGACTTTTGAGATGTCACACTGAGTAGTCAGGTTAGTGTCTACCACTTGTTTGGAGGATATGTATTACCTAAATTTAATGGCTGAAGACAAGCCAGGCAAGCAGCAAGCTAGCAAACCATGCCCCAAAATTAATACAAATATAGGCTGAGGAAGGAGCCTAAGAGATCAATGGGAGGTAAAGGCAGGTCCAGTGAATTACAGGACTGATAGGGGCTCAGGGATAAAAATATAAGAAGTGGAAGAGGCAGGTAAGAATGGCTTAAGGCAGAGGAAGAATGGGGCAGAAAGAAGAAATGGGAAATGGAGGGCAGATATAATGGGTTGATGGTACAATATGGAGGCAAAAGAAATATCCTTCCCTCTTGCTTCCTTTTATCCCTTGCCATTTTCTTTTTCCCCTTCTGTTTATCCTCTTTATTAAATTAATATCAATATTTACCATTAATCTTATCTGGTAAACTGAAAGTATATTACAAACAGTACAAGTGCTCTAAAATTAAATACCTATGAAATCGAAATACTGTAAAATAATTTTCTAATCACAATGGAAGTGAACTCTGTCTGATACCTTCTAATTTTTTATCACTGACGACTCTGTATCTGAATGTATACTATTTATTTTTAAAATATACTGAATTCAGGCAGCATGAATTAAAATTCATAGTAAAACTAAAAAATCAAGTAAAAATTTCAAATCCAATTATAGAAATTCATTAAACCACAAGATATTTCATATTCAGGGGCAGAGAGTCTACATAAATGTTTGATCTCACACACTAACCACACATTTTGATAAACTAAATTTGGTCCATATTAAGTGGGACACCTTCCATCAAAGTCACGGCATGTCATTAGGATATGAACAGAAGCAATGGCTTCCATATGAACAGAAAATACAGAATAAACAGTCAACAGCACACAACAGATAGTTTTCTAGCTTGAAGGTTGGTTTAAGGGATCTAAGGGATTGAAAGTTTAATAACCTTTCACAATAAAAATCGTGTGTTGTAAATCTAAGAATGAGGCCTTAATACTGAACAGATTTTTGGCATAAATGAAGTGACATTCTAAATAGGCTGAGCTGACTTAAATGAATTAGATAATGTCAAATGGCAGGCTCTAGCATTAGCATGTTGAACCAAAGCATCCTATCACCACAGTCATATCTGTACATTTTAGCCAACAATTTAATATCTTCTGTACAGAATAAGACAAATACACCTGCTTTCTTTCAGACATGGCTTCTGAATTTTAAGTAAAATGATAAAGAGTATTGCTCCCATCTCAGGTATCTGTTATCATATGACCATGCAAAATGTCTGAACAGGAAAACCTCCAGTGGCATGGCCTTTATACTGAATTTTCTCAAAGAGGTTCATGGGAAATGAAAACTATAACTCTCCAGTCTCTGGACAGTTGTTTAAGTAGATGGTTGGTGGGTTTGTTAGAAGTTGAAAGATGGTTCATTAAACAGAAGTTTTGTTGCAATGTCTTATTATAACACAAGTAATATTTACACTTACCAAGAAGCAGGAGGATCTGCACATCCCTTAAAATCTTAACTGATAAATCATAGTTTCGGAACAGAGGGTAACAAAGGCTGCGCCGCATAAATGCCGTAACAGCATCTTTCAGTGTGGCATACACCTGAAAGTAAAGTACAGTGAATAAATTTTATTTTCACAAACTATGACAAAGGCCCACACTTAAAAGATCGAGTCATTACTGCTAAAAACAGTTCTCCTATCTGCCTTGTGAGTCTGAAACATATGGTATCAGAAAGTTCCTGGATTGTTACTGTTGTAACCGCCTCTGTGAAAGAAGATAAGAGGGGAGGCCAAGGTCAGACTTCTGAAAGCCTACTGCAACCGTCTGCATGTGACACTATGACGTGAACATGCATTGTTTTTACACAAGTGCTTTTTCGACTTTGTGTTTCATTTTGTCTGTGATGGATTGCAAAATCAGCAAAGTGTCTGCATCAAGTTTCGTGTGAAGCTTGGTAAATTTGGTACCAAAACCCCTGAAATGCTTCATGAGGTTTTTTGAGAACATTCTTTAAGCGGGGCAGCAGTTTTTGAATGACATTCATGTTTCAAGGCTGGTCGAGTGTCAGTTGAAGATGACAAAAGTTCAGGGCGACCGAGTATCAACAAAATGAGAGAAAATGTTGAAAAAGTTCTAGGACTCATCAACAAATACTGTTGCCAAAAATCCATGAGCTCGCAGACATCATTTGGATCAGTTATGGAGTTCGCCAGGAGATCTTAACAGAAAATTTTAACATGCTCTGCATTGCTCCTTCATCACAACTATGCATCTGCCCACACATCCCTGAAAACCACAGAGTTTGTGATTGACAAAAACATGATTATCGTTTCCCATCCTCCCTATTCGCCGGACTTAGTCCGTGATTTCCCTTTACTTCCCAAATTGAAAATGAAACTGAACGGACATTTTTTACATGTCCGACATCCAAAGGGAATTGCAAGCAGTACTCGATAGCATTCAGAAAATGACTTCCATGGAGCTTCTTAAGCGTGGAGAAAAACAATGGGATTGCTGTATACATTCCCAAGGAGACTATTCTGAAGGAGATGGTATCCAAAATTGAGTAAGTTAAGCCAGCATTTCTTTTTTGACCTAGTCTGGAAACTTTCTGATAGCACCTCACATATGATTGGAGCTGGGATAGCACAGTCAGTATAGTAACTGGCTATGGGCTCAACAACCAAGAGATCGGAGTCTGAATTCCGGTAGTCAAGAATTTTCACTCCTCCATGTTGTCCAGACTGGCTCTGGGGTCCACCCAACCTCCCATACAATGAGTGCCAGGGGCTCTTTCCCGGAGGTAAAATAGCCAAAGTGTGAAGGTGACCACTCACCTAACCAACTAGTGTCAACGTCAAGAAAATGTGATCCACACATCCATTCCCCCATACGCCTTCATGGCGTAGTGCTTAGTTAGTTAAGCACAGGGACAATTTTATCTTTTACCCTACCTTACCTTGTACATGATTGTAATATCTGCCACAAACTTTCTGAACTACATACCTACACCACGAACATCACGTATCACACATGACCACAAAGTATAACTAAAATCTGTGTTATTAGTACAGCAAACCCAAATATGTCAGTGGAACCATAATATATAACAAGAATGGCTAATAACAAAAACAACCAGTACAATCAGTCTGTTAACAATACATATATTAAGCAATCCAGTATGAAATGGGGACACTTCTTCAGCACTTTCATCATAACAAGTGATTTCTATCCAGCCGTAGCTTTTCCATGAATTGTACTAGCTATTTATGCTAGTGGTCCAAAAAGGTATTGCTGAACCACACTCTGCACCTCCCCCTTGTTAAGGGAGATTGATGAAGAAGCAGTCGCAGATCTGTTTTAAGGTACTACAGAATTCACATGCAGATATCGGGATAACTATGAAAAACTTATCAAAATAGATATATGATATAAACTCCGTCCTAAGCGCAACAATTTATTGTAGGTCTTTCGCCTTGCTTTCTTCTACACTACATGTTTCGGCCGCAAACGACCATCATCAGGTGTATACACTCACATAGCTGTTACACTGCACCCAGTTTAAAATTTAAAAACACAGGTCTTCCCAATTGTTCCCTTCGTCACTGCTAACAGGATCTACTTCGCTGATATCTGTCTGATTCGTACATCATCTTTGCTACCCACACACATCAATTTTGACATTCATGAACTGGCACTTTTAAAATCTTCAGTTCCAGTTTTAAAAAATTCCTTTAAAATTTTTTCCCAACTTTTAAAATTTTAAATTCTCAGGGATACTCACCCCACGTCTATAGTGCTGCAGTGGCCTGTGTTTTTAAATTTTAAACTGGGTGCAGTGTAACAACTATGTGAGTGTATACACCTGATGATGGCCGTTTGCGGCCGAAACATGTAGTGTAGAAGAAAGCAAGACGAAAGACCTACAATAAATTGTTGCACTTAGGACAGAGTTTATATCGTATAGAGTGCAACAGGATGCTTAAATATAATATTGTCAAAATATGCTGTGTCTCTTTTGTATGATTCAATCATGTAGTTTCCAAATAGAAATGAGACACATTACTATAGAGATACGCTTACTCAATAAAAGAAACACCACCAGCAAAAGAGTTTCCAGTCTTCCCACTCAACATTCATACCATTTATACTGTGGATGAAACACCAGTATATCTCAGTGTCTCCAAGGACCCCTTGCTCTGGGAAGCAAACTCCACAAAAAAAAAAGTTGTTGAAATATCCTAAAGAAAGTCTTAATGGGTATTTCCACAATTTTTGTTGTAAATTTTCTTATTATCTCCCACTGACAAAAACTGATTCCACGTACACACACACAGAATCAGTTGACTGACTCAGACTGTCCACAGATGAACGTCAGCTATTTCTAACTGACCCAACTGAGCAGAAGAATCCCCACCTGAGGACCCGGTTTCTGAAATGGTGCATTCTTTCAGGGTACGAGGTGATGGAAAGAATACAGTAACTCAGTAACCTCAAGCATAATACATCACTATGAAAACCATTCAGAACTCGAAAAATTCTGAAGTCCAAACCAGAACCACAAATAATGAAGTGGGAAGTTCAGAGTAGGAAGTGGGAAAGGCCAATTTTAAGATACTATCCTAGCATGTATCTGAATAAACTGAGGAAATCTGTGAAAAACTGGCATGAGAACTGTTGGCCTCTAGACCAGGAACTGGACCTTCCAAATATAAAGCACAAGTGTTAACCAATAGACATATGAGGTACAACTTTCATATTAATCTACACTCTTTTTATTATATAATTATTATTGCTAATATTATTCTATTTATTTCAAGCAAACATGTGCAATTTGTTCAGTAAAAGTAAATGGCTACAAGCTGGATGATCAGAGTTGAATACTGATCGAAGTAGGTGTTGTCTTCTTTCTAGCCGCATCCAGACAAATCTGGGGTCCACCCAGCCCACTATTCACATACAAAGTAGCTTGAATATGAAACTGATTACTTATCTCCAACTGGAGCTAAAGTTAACCCATCCAGTTACCATTTCTTCAGACCTATCATTTACTCTCAGCTTTAACAATGTAGACATATCCATGCAATGAACTTAATGACCTTCCCTCAAAATTATATATTTTGTGTTACAGCTTAAATTAAAACCTGAAGTCTAAAAACTGAATTACATGGTACCTCCTGGCTGTCAGTGTAATAGTTTAGTGGTTACAACCAATAAATCAGAGCTCTGAAATAACTGCTTCAAAAATTGCTGGATAATTTAAGCAGGCATTTTAGAATTCATTTATGCAATGACTGAGTAAGTCAGCGAGTTGCAAATGTGGCTGTATCTCAGCATCCCCTATTCACCTTTGTACAATGGTGATTTGATACATGGACAACTTTACCTTTCTCCTTATCTTTGTTTATTGGGTTTCATATAAATTCTGGCAGCAGGGATTCTTGTCAAAATTTATTTATGGAACAGTCTATTTTACCATTCTACTCTCAGTATATATTCCCTTTATTAATGTTTGTTGTTAATAATAAAAATGTATTTAAAATAAACTCAGATGTTCATACTTTTAATACAAGATATAATTGTGATTTGCATTTTCCAGTAGTAAATCTGAGTGTATGCCAGAAAGGAGTACGGCGCTCTGGTATTAAACTTTACAATGACCTTCCATTAACTCTTAAACAAATATCATATGACATTCCTAAATTACAGTGGCATTAAAGAATTTCCTGACCACCAACTCTTCCTACACTGTGGAGGAATACTATTGTTATAAATAAGAATTTCAAAATTTGACTATATCTAAAGAATTGAAATTCCTGATTTTATACAGAATAGATAATGAAAAGTTCAGTCCAGTGTGACATACGAGTTTACAACACTTCAGGACTGAAGTATGTCACACTGGACTGAACTTTTCATTATCTATTCTGTAATTAATAGTGTGATGGACCAAAATGAGACAAGTTAAAAAAATTGCTGATTTTATGACTGTAAATTTTGATTATTTTGATTGTCAGATGTCAACTTTATATATTTTTATATGTACTATTTTGTGTATAAATATTGTGGTTATATTGCAGGTTTTTTATAATCTGTCCGATCATGTATAAGAAAATTTATTGAGTTGACTGGTTTCAATCATTTTTGAAACTATACATGTATGGGACTTGTTCCACATCCAATGGTGTTTTAGCACCTCTGGATCTATGGAATTTTAAATAAATATGAATATGAATAACACCACCAAACAGATGAGGTTATAGTGAATTAGACAACCGATGTGAAGTTCATTGTGAGTGGTGAGCAAGGTTAGCTGAAGAACTGATGTCTTAACATAGTACACATCATCCTGAAGATAACAAGGAAAATAAAATTCTTTCATCAGTCTAAATTAGAACTTAAAATGGGAATCTTGCAAATGCAAACTACAATCTGATATATTCACAATACATTCTACTTTCCTTCCCAAGTTAAAGTGATCATACAGCTGCAAAGAAATATTAAACGGCTGCAACATGGCTTCTTCAATACAAATGCACTTCTAAGGGAACAGAGTTTATGGTAGCATAGTCAGATAGATAACAAACTAACAAGACACAGCCAGCTGCTAAAAATACCAAAAAGAAAAGGGATTAAAGAGAGAATAGAGAAATGCATACATCTCGCCAAAGAGCTCCACAATATTGCAGATTTTATATAGAATATATAAATAAAGATAGTCAGGATATGTAAGATTTGAGGCTTTCACGGCGGTGACTATGAAGAAANGATAGTTTAACATTTTGTCACGCAACTGAATAATAATGGATAAGCTTGGGATTGGTAATTGGATTTATTGGAACCTTACAGATCGTAACTACAAGTGACTACAGTGCTATTGCTAAGTCACACACTCTACAGTACACTACAGCATGCACTAAGTCTTCTCAGTCTATGTCTTCACTGGTTGTTGCCTGGTAATGGCTTCCAATGATACAGATCCCTCAGCTTCTGGGTCCAGCAGCTTCTGTCCTCACTGGCTGGTGTCTATGTCACAACTAACGCCTCAACTCAAGTCAAGGTCACGATACAACCAATGGTCAACTGGCCAGTCAGTCTTCTTGTCAAGCCCCATTATGAGCCCAAGACGAGATGTACATTACTGTTTGACAGCTGCAGTTTTGCTGACACGCTCTAACAGGAAGACAGGTCTGTCATTTACCACAAACTAACTCCTTGCCTTACGGGTTCAAGTGATATAGCCTCTATCATAATAATAATGCAATACAATTCCAAATGTTTTCCATACTTTAAACTTTAATGGCAGTGCCACACACCAAGCTATTACCTCAAACCAACTGAGTGTGGCACTTAATTTGTTGATTGTCCATGCAGACTCTGAGGTTGGGTCTCCTTCAGTTGTTCTGTGATCATAACAGTAAGCTGCAATTATATCTAACAGCCCAAAATACAGAGTCTGTTGGTCATGTGGCATCAGGATGTACTCACGTACTGGGAAATCCTTCAGTCTCTCAGTGTCTTCAACACATAATGTGGCTGTGAATAACAAAAAGGTTATTATTATTATTGTTGTTGTTGTTGTTGTTGTTATCATTATCACTGTCATCATCATCACTGTTACTGTTGTTGTTATTATCATCATTATTATTATTATTCGCGGTGGGTAAAGATCTCAACATATTTGAAATCGGAACAGTTTCTGTCAATCACTTTGAACCTAAAATTGTTAATAATATATAATACTCTTAATATTATATAGTATAATTGTTAGTATTATTAATTGCTTGTACAATAAGCAACAATTAAACTGAATTGTTATTTTTGATTTGTTTCATTCTGGTCCGTCACACTAACAATCACAAATATAAATCACTCCGTCCAAGGGTGTTACGTTTTTCATGTAGTAATAAACTTACAGGTCACATTGGATGGAGTGATTTATATTTGTGATTGTTATTACCGTATTTACACATGTATAGGCTGCATATTTTTTGCCAAAAATTCAAGAGGAAAACTGGGGTGCAGCTTATATTCGAAATATTCGAAATCACACTTCATTTGAAAAAAAATTATATTCATAATTAGTAATACAGAGTGTTCAAAGAT